GATTGGAACACTGCTGGGGGACTGGAAGTGGACCAGTCAGCGAGAAACAAACGGGAGAGTGGACAATGCTGCACAAATCGAACACCAGAAACACACTAGCACACTGTGCGTTAGGGATAAATGTTAGCCCAGACGGCTACATCAAAAACAAACCACAAAGGAAAACCAAAAACAAAAACAAACGACACTAAGTTCAAGCTCCGCACACATGGATCCGTAACAAAAGGCAGACCATTGATCATCTAGTGGCAGAGGATGGTTCTGTAGTCACTGATGTAGAGCAGATGGGGGATGTTGCTGTGGATTTCTATAAAGCTTTGCTTGGCAGGGTTAATAGGGAAGTCAAGGAGCAGCCGGTGGAATATTATGAGGCTCTACTCAGGCACAAGTTACCTCCAGAAGCTGCAAGGGAATTACAGGGGGAGGTCACTCGGGAGGAGATTAAGGCTGTTTTTATGGCTATGGCGTCTGACAAGGCCCCTGGCCCGGATGGTTATCCTGCTGATTTCTATAAGGAAGACTGGTCAGTTGTGGGAAAGGATGTGGAGGATGCTCTCCTTCAATTTTTTGAGACAGGTATTTTACCTAGGAAGCTTAATTCCACTATTCTTGCTTTGATTCCTAAGCTAGCAAATGTTGAGAGAATGAAAGACTTCCGACCCATATCTTGTTGTAATGTTCTCTATAAGGGCATTACAAAAATTCTAGCTAATAGGTTGTCAAAGGTCCTTCCCCTCCTCATTAGTCATTTACAATCTGCTTTTATAAAAGGAAGACTAATCTGTGATAATATTCTCATGGCGTCTGAGTTAGTTAAAGACTATAATAAAACATCTATTGCTCCCAGATGTGTAGTTAAAGTCGATTTAATGAAGGCGTTTGATTCGGTTAATTGGTCTTTCCTTTTCACGGTTATGGCTGCTATGGGTATTCCAGAGTGTTTTGTTCACAGAGTTAGGGTGTGTGTGTCTTCCCCGATGTTCAGTGTCTGTTTGAATGGGGGGTTGTGTGGTTATTTCCCAGGGGAGAAAGGCCTTAGGCAGGGAGATCCGATTTCGCCATACTTATTTGTTATATCTATGGAGGTTTTCTCATGTTTGTTGGCTAAGGCAACTGCAGAGGGTCAGATACCATACCATCCACGCTGTAAGAGTCTGGCCATTTCCCATTTAATATTTGCAGATGACCTTCTTGTGTTTTCTGATGGCTCTTTTGAGGCAGTGTAGGGGATTAAGGGTGTGTTGGGGGATTTTTATTCTTTGTCTGGTCTGAAATGCAATCCAGATAAGAGTCAGGTTTTCTTTGGAGGGGTTCCAACTGAGGATCAGGTTATTATTGCTGGTTCGGCAGGTTTCCCATTGGGCACATTCCCAGTTAAGTACTTGGGGATGCCACTTTTGTCTGGGAAGTTGTCTACAGTTGATTGCCAGATATTAGTGGATAAGATTAATGAAATTAGAAGGATCCTAGAGCTTAATGAAATTTTGATTAACCATCAAAAAAAATAATGATTGCGATGCTTGAGGGAAACGAGGTTTGGCTTGATAAGGTAGTAGAGTATTTCATATATTTGATGGTCGAGCAAGTAAAGATGGGAAACAAACATACTATAACTTTCAATAGATTGGGATGGTCCAACATCACAAGTGGGTGGAAGATTAAGTTCAGCAAATACTATGCCTCCGATCAGTTGAAGAATAAATTTAATGAGATTAGGAGGAAACACCTGGAATTAAAGGACTTGATCAATCAGACTAGAATTAGTTACTCTGCTATACCAGAGAGGATTGTTGCCTCTCATGATCAGTTAAAGGTAGAGGTGGCAAATGGATCAGATCAATGGATTTATGGATTGGATTGGTGTATCCCTAGATAGGGTGGATTGGATCAAATGGATTCATGGATTCATGAATTGGTGGATTGATCAATGAATCCAAATGACATCCAAGTCTTGGATCAATGTGTAAATTTTGAAAAGTTTTTATAGTAAAATATCATAATGAAAAATTTTAGGTACCAAAACGTAATTTTCCAATGCTATTTTTGTATAAAAAAATTAAATTTTAGGTACCAAAATGTAAAATATAAAAATGTAGGTACTAAACCGTAATTTACCATTTAGATTCATGATCAATCCACGAATCAACCAATCCAATTGGATTTGGATCAAATGGATTGGATTAGGTGGATAATTTGGTGGATTGATTGGATTGAAATTGCCATCTCTAGTCGAAAGAGTGGAACCAGGTAATTGACATTTTTCATCATTTTGATTGACTTGAAAGTTATAATTTGAAAAGTGGAATGTTTCATTTGCAGCGATACAAGATGATTGGGAATATTAGGAAGCACAGATGTCCAGAGTAAGGAAACCTATGCATATTATTGTGTGATACAACTGCTTCTGGTGTGAATGTTGTTGCTTCTGTCGCAACCAGACCTCGGGATCGGGGAGTCCGTCGCGATGTTCTCGGAGTCGCCATCGATCTTACTTGTGGTGGATCGAACACCTTTTGGTCCGGTTCCAACCTTAGGGTCAGAACCGGGATTTGGCCTGCGAATATTGGAGATTTGGGTTCGGGAGTACGATTACGTGTGGGGAAGTGTATTCACACCCCGCAACGCCCAAAAATGGGTACTACTTAAATCGATAAGTTTTTAAGGGTTTGGTGTATTATAATTTGCGCTTTATTTGTGTACTTAATTATGTAATTCAATTAATTAGGTTTAAATTATTAAAAAGATTTGATCATATGCCTATTGACGTAATTCTCAAATGCAAAGAAGGAGTTTTTTTGAACAGTTGGACTCGAACCTATTGGTTGCCTACGTACCCGAGTAGTCGGGATCAAAATCCACGTAGTTCAATATGTTGAAGTTTTAAAATGTTGAGTCTCACACACGTTGAAATGTGGAGAAAATTTGTTAGTTGGACTCGAACCTTGTCGGTTGCCTACGTACCGGAGTAATCGGGATCAAAGTCCACGTAGTTCGGTCATGTAGAATGATTTTTTTAAAAGGAAAACTAAACACGCACTATTGTTTCGTGTTTAAGGTTTGGTATTGAGTTTTTATGAAGAATTATATTTTGACCTTGAAATGTGGTAATTGAATTGTTGACGATTTAGAGAATTTCGACTCCAAAAACTATCACGGTCTAATGACCGTGATCTCGTATTAAGAGATTTTCTAAGCATGTATGAATAGGGATGCCGAATAAGGGTAATAATCAAAGGTTTCAAAATTATGCAATGCTTATAGTAATCGTAGATAAACCAAACTAAAAAACTAACATGTTGGAGGTTTCATGCTGAACTTGAATGAAAATGAAATAAAGCCGAAAAGACTATTGTTTCATATAATATTTTGTAGTCCAATGGGTTTGTATGTTGATCGGCCCATTATGGTCAGCGGTTCGAATCTTAAAGGACTGTTAGTTTTTTTTTTATTCTCGTTTTAAGCCTAACAAAACCCTAAGTCCTAACTAGAGATGGCAATTTTACCCATACCCATGGGTATTTTACTATCCAACCTATGAAATCCAAATATATGGATATGGGTAAAGTTTGATGGGTTTGTACCCATACCCATTTACTTTGGGTTGGGTTGGGTTTATAACAAATGGATTTGGGTTTGTACCCATGCCCAAATACAAATTACAGTTTGGTACCTAAACTTAATAGATATGCATATTTAGTACCTAAATTTAATTTTGCATATAAGTCCTCAAAATATCTGAATCGCTATTTGTCGCCCTAAAATTCAAAATAAATCGCCCTAAACTACACTAAGTTGACACATATACCCCTAACATCAAAACTAAACAAAAACCCAGCAAACAATCCGTCCCACCAACCCCTAACCCGACTCGCAAAATCCCTGCTAAAAAGCTGTCGTCCACCCAAGAACTGCTCTCCCGCCGACCCTATAACTGCTCCCGCCGCTGCTGCCGCCAGTGTCATTCCTCGCCGCCACTACTATTCGTCGTTGCTGTCGACCAGGAGGAGGGAGGAAGGCGGCCACTGGATCCGCCGCAAAAGGAAGAAGATCAATGACGTAGCGCAGCAGAACTAAGGTTTAAGAAGAAAGGAATTATCACTACCATGTGTATGGCCTACAATTGAGTGGCCCTCGTTAATATTATTTTGGTCTCTGTTCATATAGCTTCCATGTAAATCAGATTTATGCTTGTGTTTTCTTTTGGATGACTTGTGGCTAAGGATGATCATCATCGATGTTAAAGAGAGAAATTTGGACAGAAAGATGATGATTAGGAAGGAATTAAAGGATTAAAAGATATTACACTTCCTCAACGTAAATCAAGTCAACAATTAAAGAGATTATAACCTGAATCGCTATTCATCGTGACGAGTGGATAAATGTGTTTGTTTGTGTTTAAGTTTTTTAGAGACAAAAAATAAATTAAGGGCATTAGAGTAAATTTAACATAATTAGGGCGACAGAATAAATTTTTTTAGGGCGACGAATAGCAATCCTCAAAAATATCGATGGAAAATTACGTTTTGGTACCTAAATTTTTTTGGTCTTACATTTTGGTACCTAAAATTTTCAAGTTTTACAAATAAGTCCAATTTTTGCATGTGTAATTAAAACACCCTCAAATAAATGGATATCCATATCCAACCTATACCCATTTAGATAATATCCATATCTAACCCAAACCATATACAAACCCTAAACCCATACACACATCACCCAAATCCTACCATAATAAATGGGTCTACTTGGATTTGGGCAAAATTACCCATGGGTGGGTAAATTGCCATCCCTAGTCCTAACCCTTGTAAACCTAGGTGCCGCTCAAACCTTCTCCTCCTCCCTCTCGTTCTTTCTCTCTCTTTGTTCTCTCTGGAAGATGAGACGAGAAACCAAACAAAATTCTGCCTTTCTTTCCCTCGATCTCGCTAATAAGAAATCGACCAAAGCAAAGCAGAACCTCCCATTTTCTCTATCTATCTCTCCTCCCTTGATCTGTCTGATTGCCAGCAGTAAGATGCAGCCGTTGTGGCTCCGAGCCAGTAGGGAAAAGACGACGGTAAGTAACCTCATGCATGTTAATTTTTCGTACTTTTTTATGTCGATTTGGGATGTATTTTTTTTTCTATTTAGGTTTTGATTGTATTTCGGTTTGTGTGTTTTTGGTTCTGGGGCGATCATTTTCGATCCTGATTTTGGGGAATTTTTAAGGTTCTCATCCTTGGATTTTGTGTTTTTCGACGAGGAAAAAAGGAGGGGAAGTAACCGGCGGAATCGGATCTTGATCGAGGGAAAGGATAAGGGAAAGTCGGCGGCTCTGGACTCCAACGGCGGTGGTAGGGTGCCAACGACAAGGACTCAGCCGACGACGTGGGCTACGCCGGCGGGAAGAGAGCGCCACCGACAAGAATTATCTGGTAAGTTTTGTTTGGATGCATGTCTGGTTTTGAGGTTCGATTTTGCTTTTCTCTGGATTTGGGGTTGTTTTAAGTTTTAATTTCCTTTGGTTTCATTTGGTAATTTGAGGGTTCGACGAGGATTGAAGGAAAGGAGGAAGACGCCGGTAGTGGGGATTCTGGTAAGCTCATGTTTCTTTCTTTTAGGGTATTCTTGTGTTGGTTATGCGTTTAACGTGGGTTAAAGCTGGATTTATTTGATGTTTTTATAGATTTTGACTAGTTTCTTGTTTTTATGTGGGTTTTAAGATTAAGGTGATATTCTATGCGCTAAAACTCGATTTCAATTGACGCAATTTGATGTTTTAGGGTTCTGAATCAATTTAGATTAGGGTTTGTTCACAATCTGGGCGGTGAAGTATAATTTTTGCTTAACCGCTAATGGTGAATAATTCTGAAATGCCATGTTTAGCTTGAGTTTGCAAATTCTTGTTTTTTTAATGGATGCACGACCCTCTTATTTTGAGGGATTTATAACCAGGAACTTATGTGTGATTAGTCCTGACCTTAGAGATTTGTTTGCTGTTTGGGAGCTTTAATCGGTTATTATGATCGAGTATGGGGATTTGTGTGTTTATGATGGCCTGTGTATTTGGATATGGGGAGGAAAGAAATTCTTATGTGGTTTATGATGGATTTGAATCTGGAAATCTGTATACTGGGTCTTGTTGTGTGTATGGTGAGTAACTGGGAAACTTAGCTTAATTATGGTTAGGTGTGTAGTCCAAAATATAAAAGCAAACATACACAAACAAACAGAACGGCTAAATTACACGTTTGGTCACCCAAATTACATAAATCTTTCACGTTTTCTACCCGAATCACTTTTCTTTCTTATTTGTCACTAACTTTACGAATTTTTTCATCGTTTGTCATCGACCGTTAGTCTCCGTTAACTCTGTTGGTTTATTGATGATGTGGCAAACAAAATTGCTGTCTGGATTGTTAACTTAATGACATGTCAATTTAAAAAAATTAAAAAATTAAAAAAATAATAATTAATCAATACCCATCCTCATCCTCCCGCCCCGCACCTTGCGAGCTGCTTCCCCTGTGGGCTTCGACTCGTCGATGATCTCCCCATCGGTTTCTGCTATAGCCGCAGCGTCCTCGTCTCGAGCTCTTTGTTCTAGCTGTTTCCTTTGATCCAGTCTCCAAGTCTTCGGCTCAATCACCACCAATTCCACAGCCGCGGCAGCTAGAGGCCGTCTCTGCTTGCGATTCCGAAGGCGATCAGTCCTCAGCCGCACCGCTTGATCGCCTTCGGCACTAAGGTCGAGATTATTTTCGATCCCTCTTTTTTACTTTAAGATTCAGCCCTATTCTCTGATCACTGCCGGCAGTTCCTCCTTTCCAAATTGATTTGAGACTTTGGATCCCCGCCATTGTTGCAGTGACAAAACTTTGAAACCTGCCATTACCATCTTCCACACAAAGGATCACCCACCACTAGTACCCATATTCACCCATCCTTCCATCGATTTCAACGCCTCTCTAAAGTGTTTTATTGTCCGAATCAAAATCCCCATCTTTGGGCGTCGATCACCATGTCGCACGCAGACAATCGCGACTCCCCTTTTTTCCTCCCTCTAGACTGAATCAATGAATCGATTGAGAAAATTTACGGTACAAACTTGGAGCTCGAAGAGAATTGTACTGGCAGATCTGCGGCAGATACAAAGAGGCAAACTAGTCGACATATTTGAGGGTTAGGACGAGAGGTAATTGGAGTCGATACATCAATGGTAAGAAGGGAGCATGCAACAACAGATTCAGCATCTTTGCTCTGCCGATGCGAGTGAGATACTCCGAGCTGGTTTCGCTGAGCAAGATGATCGTCTATGCGCTCGACGATAGGGTGGGGGCTGGGAAAAGAAAGGAAAAGGAAGACGTTATTAATTATGATCGACGATGTAATCAATTTAGAGTTTGGGCAAGAGGTAGAAGAACAGCCACGGATGAAAAAGAGGAAGACCGGAAGCGGTGAGGAAGAGAAAGTCGGAGAAGACAGAGGAGAAAAGGGCTCTGTCGATGCTGCTAAGAAAATGAATTGGTCAAAGTTCTCGGATTAGATTTGGTGATGTTTAATTATTACGATTTTTTTATTTTTTAAATTGACATGTCATTAAGTCAACAATCTAGTCAGCAGTTCCGTTTTCCACGTCATCAATAAACTGACAGAGTTAACGGAGACTAACGGCCGGTGACTAACAGTGAAAAAATTCGTAAAGTTAGTAGCAAATAAGAAAGAAAAGTAATTCGGGTGGCAAACGTGAAAGATTTATGTAATTTAGGTGACCAAACGTGTAATTTAGCCCAAACAGAACGGTCAAAAGAATTGTAAATGATGAACAAAGATAGATTTATATATAGATATAGTATTATAGTAGGCTTAAACATGAAATATTCAAATGGAAGTACTGTGATATAGACAACAGTAAATATAATGAACTCATAAGGAATAGCAATTGATCATATTTGTCGATTGCTTTTGTTATTATGGTGAGATTTGCTGACTTGTAATTTGATTTGAAAGTCAATTGTGCTTGATTGCTTTTGGAGTTTTATTAAGGTCAGATTGTATTTTGATTTGGGATTGATTGAGCTTTATATACGAAGCTTTACATAGGTAGATATGATAGGATTATGGATTATAATGATTGGGATTTGGATAACTACCAACCTTCTGCTATGATTTGGATTACTATTCCTGCTCCTCTTCTCCTTGTCTTGTGCTTGCGGCGGTCTGTCCTTTTCTGCTGCTCTTCTACTGCTTTTTCCCTTTCTTATAGTTGTTGTATTGTTGGGTCTAGGAGTAGGAATTTTATTGTCTTGTTTGTGTGTTTTAGGGAGAGAGGATGGTGGGTAGAATTTCTTTTTTTTTTTTCTTTTTGTGTCGAGTTCTGCTCTCAGTTTGTGATGTCGACCCAAGCAAGAAGAATGGGAAAAGTATTCTTCTAATAATTTTTGAAGGTTTTTGTGTGTTTTCCAGCTGACAAGAAGAAAATAGTCTCGTTTTTACTACTCGTGGGGGAAAAAAAAAAAGAGCCGAGTGTTCCTTTTTGTTCTCGTGGGGAGGAAGAAGAAAAGAGGAAGATGTTGTCTGTTCCCCTTTGTTTTACCAAGTTTTTGGGTCTCTTGAGAAGGGGAAATTAAGCTGTCGAGGAGGAAGAAAAAGGAGAAGAAAGGAAGAAGTCAGTTGTCCCCCAGTGTTGTATGTGTATGAGAGTTTTTTTTGTTGTTGTTTTTGTATTGTTTTAGGAAGTGGAGACTAGGAAAGAACAAGAAGAAGAGGTCTGTAAGGTAGGGAAGAGAAGAAGAGTCCAGCCCTTTTTATTGAGAGGAAAGGAAGTGTAAGAAGAAGGAGGTCATTGGGGATTTTCCCCTTTCTCTCGTCTGTCTTTTTTTTTTTTTTTTTTTTGGGGGGGGGGGGGGGGGGGGGGGAGTAGGGAGAGGAAGAAATAAAATTGGAGAAGAGGCTTGTTCCCCAAGTTTGGACCAGTTCTGGGTTTGGGTCGGACAGGTCTGAGTTGGATCTGACCGATATGGGTTTAATTTGGTCAGACCTGATTTCTGACCAGTTTGAGTTTGTTTAATGGTTAACTTTCACTTGTGCTTGTGCTTTGACTTCGACCATAATGTATTAGTGTATGTAGTATTTAAATGTTGTGTATTATAATTAGGATCAAGTGTAAAGATTATTTACTCTAGTTATTATATGTTAGTAATATTCAGTAATTGTAATTGTCTATCGGCAATGTTTATTGTAATTTCGCTTTCATTTAATAAGATATTAATCAATTTGTTTTTTCCTTTATTGTTTCAAAGTCAAGCTCAGTATTTGCTAAAGTCAAAGGATTCAGAAACAATATTCAACAAGTTGACTCAAAGGCGACCAAACTAAGATATTGCCTAATTTGTTTACCAAAATTGAAACGCAACAACCATCATTACCAGATTGTATCAATCGAGATTTGCTATTGCTAATCTCATTGATCCAAAGCAAAAACGACATATCCAAACACTTAAATACGACTTCGGCTAGAAGATTGTTTAAGATTTGCTATTGCCAACCTTAAACAAAAACTAAAATCTATTTAATTAAATATGTTTTAACCCGGACAAAAAGTGGTGTCTACAGCTTCTACTAGAGAGATCTCAGATAGTAGTTGTGGACATGGAAAGGAAAAGGATGTGCAAGACAATCTCCTCTTTGGTGAAGAGGATTTGGATGGAGTCCATGGTTATGCCAAGGATATAGTGCCCAAAGTAAATAGTAGATGAAAAAGAGAAAAGCAAATAGATCTGGCTTCACTCATGCAGTACAGAATACAATAATCAGCTAAAGAATTCAAAAAGAAGAATGAGAGGCGTGAAGCCAAGGAGGCCACATCTTCTGTTAGAGGACCTATGCATGTCGTATCTTTGCAGGATCAGGAGCTTGAAATTATGAATGAATGTATAGATGTTTTAGATGATAAGGAGGTGGAGGGTATTGTATTTTTTAGATGTTTAATTTTGGATTCATAATTTGCTGAAATGATTATCACCTATGGTAAATTTATTTTATGTAATCGTTTGCATATGTAAACAATGATACTAGCAATTACAGACATGTCAGCTTTAACAATAGAATGGGCTATGGTGCTTTTACTAAACCACCCAGAGATTCTCGATAGAGCAAGACTTGAGATAGACAATGTCGTCGGCAAGGACCGACTAGTAGGCGAATCTAATTATTATAGCCTTCCATATATTAAGTGCATCATCAATAAGACGCTTCGTCTATATCCGCCAGCACCAACCTTAGTGCCACACAAATCCTCAGAGGATTGCACAATTGGAGGCTATCACATTCCGAAAGGAGCAATGTGAATGGTCAATATGTTGGCTATTCAAAGGGACCCAACGGTATGGGAAGATCTTGCGCGGTTTTGGCCCGAGAGATATGAAGGAGCAGAGGTTGGACCTTACAAATTGTTGCCATTTGGTACAGGAATAAGGTATTGCCCTGACACGGGGCTTGCAAATCGGGTAGTGAGCTTGGCTTGGAGTGCTTTAATTCAATGTTTTTGTTTTTGTCCAGCATTCCTATACCGTTTGAGTCTCATCTCTCGTGTTTTAGGCCGATTTCACACTAGGTTGTTCTTGTTTGTGATATTTCATGTCCTAGTACTTGAAGGAAGGTTTGGGCACGAGTTCATGGTCGATTGGACGAAGTTGGGATGTTTGACGAAAAGCTGGAAATTCCACACGGGCAACTTGGCCGTGTAAAGGGCCTGATAGACCGTTATTTACACATGTTTTCACCCCTGTTCTTACTCCGTTTGAGGTATTGATTCTCGTGTTTTAGGCCGATTTCACGCTAGGTTGTGCTTGTTTATGATATTTCAGGTCCTAGTACGTGAATGGAGGCTTGAGAGCGAGTTTGACGTCGATTGGACAAGGATCGGACGCATGGGGAGGTTCTGAGGAAGTCGCGTGGGCACGCACGGGATTGTGCGTAGGCACGCACGGGATTGTGCGTGGCCACGCACGGGATTGTGCGTGGCCACGCACGGCCGTGCAAGTGACCAGTTTGGCCGTGCGGGATTGTGCGTGGGCACGCACGGGCAGAGCAGAAATCCGCACGGCCGTGCGGGATTGTGCGTGGGCACGCACGGGATTGTGCGTGGCCACGCACGGCCGTGCACCTGGCCGTGCACCCAGGCCTGAGGCAGACTTAATGATACGGCGCGTTTCAGGGTGCACGGCCAGAATGGTGTTGTGCACGGCCGTGCACCTGGCCGTGCAACTCGGGAAAGCCGGTTTTAAAGCCTAATCCGAGCCAGAAGTGGGAGAATCGTGTTTTCAGAGCAAAAACAGAGCCCTAGAGAGAGAAAGTGCGAAGAACACATCCTAGAAGCTGTCCTAGAGCTGGATTTCATCGAATCGAGCTTGGAGATCGTCATAGGAGTGAAAATCATCGTCCTGGAGCAGATTATCCTCATCGTTATGAGTATGACTAATCCGATTCTTGTTTTCTTTTCTCTCTCTATGGAGTAGAACCCTTCTCTCACTTGGGTATGAAGAACCCTAGTTCATTGTGTTAGGGATTTGATTGTAATGACTTGGGATGATATTATTGTTTGATTTTAATCGAATGACGCATGTTTAATGAATTGATTTGAGTCTGATCAGCTTTTCTCAATTTCTGCTTCAACCTGAGATAGATAGAATCTGATTAGGTTGTTAGAGCCTCTTCATTCGATAGTAGGAGATTGGCTATACGAG